GCAGCCGTTACCCAGGTAACCCTTAAAGGGGTCATCGGATGCTACATGCACTTTTAAAAGCTGTTTGAACTGAAATGTGTGTTGGCAGTGTGTGTACACAACCATTCTATAATGATAAAGATTCACCCAGTGGTTTTTTTTTTTAATCTCGTTATGGATTACATTTGTTTCTGAAGGGAATGCGCCCCCGATCAACCTAAATGCATCTATCTTCGCGCAAATCATTCGTGATCCAGCTTCACCTCCAGAAGAAGTGAGTGTAAGTTTTTTTAATGAATCTTTGCAAATCGCCTTTCCTAATAATGTGTTAATTAGCGAGTTTTACTGGCAGGGATTGTAGGTGGGGGGAGTGAATGTATAGCCCTCTCTCGCACCTTCAATACCACGACTGAGGTGCCCTTGAGCAAGGCACCGAACCCCCGACTGCACACCCGCAGCATTGGCTGCCCACTGCGCTGGGTGTGTGTTCACTGCTGTGTGTGTGCACTTTGGATGGGATAAATGCAGAGCACTAATTCAGAGTATGGGTCACCATACTTGGCCACGTCACGTCACTTTCACTTTCATTAAGACCCTAAAGAATCATATCAACTTGTGAAAAATGGGCATCCGATGACCCCTTTATTAGGCCTATTGTTCAATTGTTTTCTACAGGCCTATTCTTCTGCACTTTAATCTGTATGAACAAATAGTTTATTTTGAATATTTAAATACAATAAAGCAATACACAGAAATTTATAGAGTTCTTAAACAGAGTTCTTAAATACGTATTATAGCATAACAACACTTTTTAGCAACTTATTTCAATATCTTGATAATATACCATGATAAAAGCTTCAGCAATTGTCGCAACATGAATATTTGATCTCCTCATTGATGGATCTATTGAAACTTAATCATTCATGAAATTGATTCCTTAAATATCAAAAGTTAAGTATTTCTTTACGATTAATAATAATGTCAAGGTGTTAACAAATACCATCAGCTTTTTTATGAGAGAAAAATTAACTGAATTCAAAAAGATCCATCTGTAGATTAAGTCTGTGCTTATCAATGAGGCAACGTCCTGATTTTGAATGAATGATTAAAAATGCAAACCTGCCTCGATAGTAGCAGGATAAGAATTACTACTATGCTGCAGCCTAAAAGGACTTACGGTAAATCAGATATGTTACCTAATCAAGGACACCTCCAAACGATATGCCTTGTTAATACAGTGTGTCCGGGCGAACTGCTGGCAGGACACATTTCTGATGAGGCACCTCAGAGAACGGCTAATAAATGTCGACTGGGGAGGACACAGGTAGAGGAGAGGCAGATGGTTTCAGCCCTACTGCAGAGTGATATGATTAACCAGCCCTTTGATCCCACACGCGAGCATACAGCAGCGACGGAGGGGAACAGAAGCTAATCGAGAGAGACAGACTGGCAGGGGGCAACACCCCCACCTCTCCTAAACAGAAACCCAAAACAGAATGATAAAACATGCTGAGGCACAGAGTAACTGGATGGTCGACTAATTAACACATTGTCTTCAAAATGGAGCCTGTCATTTTTTAATCCCAAGTGCGATGACAGAACTCAATCATAATGTGAACAATGTCGACGCATGCAAATGTGAACCATGTTTAAAACATGGAAAAGTGTGATCAATCAACGTTATACCAGGCTAATCTGTAGAGCTCTCATGTTAGAATATATTAGCATATACAGCTTCATAAACAATATACAAAACACATTAGAAGTGCATTCAGCATGTTTTTGTTTATTTTTTCGCTTATTCATCTCAGTGGTCTTGGATGTTATACTGACACCTTCTGGTGTGGATGCATCACTTAGTTTATTAGTGTAGCTGTGTATGCTAGTTTTAATCATAAAAGAGATGTTCATGTCTAACACTAAACACTGGCGATAAAACACAATTTAAAGGGTTTTAAAATGCATTACTGAGAAAGGGGAAAGAGAGATGCTTTGCAAGAACATTAGGGGAATGGGGGCAAAGAGAGACAAAATAAAGTTGGAGACAGAGAAATAAATAGAAAGAAAGGGAGGCAGGGAGGAGAAACGGAAAGGGGTTCATGAGGGAGCTCTTGTTCACAGAGGCAGAACACAGACAGAAGGGGAAAGATAACAGACTCTCAGCTACACTGAGAACAACACAGGTAAACATGTTCCATGCACAAAAATATTCCGCGTTTTAAGTTATATAACTGCCAATTTTTTTTATTTATATTTTTTTTTTAAAACTATCATAGGTGCTTGTTTCTGTACAGCAGATAAAAGTTTTGGAAGGGAACCAAAAAATATATCATAAATTTAAAAATAAAATACGGCTTTCATACGGCTAATGCTAGGGCTGCAATAACTGACAATAACTAAACAGCATTTATTTGAAATAGAAATCTTTTGCATCATTATAAACTTTACTGTCGCTTTTGATCAATTATGATCAAAGTTTTGAATGCTCTTGTACATTTTACTGATATACTGTTATAATGAGAGTAGTTTTATTATGCAAAACAGCAAGTCCTAACACTGAGCGTTCATATTAGTTCATATGTCACTAATACAGTTACATTTTCATGACAGACATCAAATTTAGATTTCAAATTGGCTGTAATTTAAACATGAAATGCTACAACAGTGAAAGCTGGGGGGAAACAGGCTTTATGTACTAAAACAATATATATATTTAAAATAATTATATTATAAACCATTTTGACCATAGTGTACATAAATTATATAGACTTTCCTCCATAGTATTTAATAGCTCATAACAGATATCAGATATAACAGATATCTATAATTAATTATAATTATTTGATAATCAAAATAGTTGTTAGTTGCAGCCCTAGCTTATACATTCCAACATTTCAGAAGTACAGGAAACAAATATTGTATTATACCCTCTTATATCCAAAATAAGCCAGCTGTACTCAAATTACTGTACCAAATAAAATAATGTAAAACAGCCCAGTACAGCAACATTTTCTGAAGTCAAAGTGGAACAAGTGTGCCATACAAACATTTCACTCACGCAAGTCACAAATGAGTATCAACATGTCATGCAGCCTCTGAACAACAGCAAGGTGTGGAGTGGTGTCGTGTTTAGCATGTCAGTAACTCTGAAAACAGTGTTATGGTGTAACATCACAAAACGAAGTGAAGCACTACGCCACAACACCAAACCGATGAGAAAACTCTGAAGCAGACAGATCAATAAAAGCTAAGACATTAACAGTGATACTCTTCCCTTCGAACAGTCAGCCACAGTGCGTCACGCTGGGGGCAACATCGAGAGATCGGACCTGTAATACCACCAATTACAGTAATACCTTCTCTCCCTTTCTCTCTCTATCCATCCCCTGTGTGAGCTTGAGGCTGGGCTGGCTAGAGCTGGTGTTGAGGTGTGGAAACCGGACATACACACTTCCACAGACAATTCTTGTGTGGTCAGATCAGATCTGATGAGGTGAGAACATGGGCGCTGATGGTGCCTTCCCACCCAGTGTCCCTCTACCACCCTCATCCCAAAACCACCACCATCACCACGGTGAACACATAGACATGCCATAAGCAATCTGTACCTTGTGTGTGATCGGGACTGGACCAACTGACACCGATCAGCATTACATCTAGAAGAACGAAACCATGTTAATCAGGTAGGGCAAGCAAAGAAACCGTCAAAGGAGCTTTTCTGAGAGAATATGCCGGTGGGCGTTCCAATTATTCTGAGTCCAAAATAACTCTATTGTTATGTGTAAAACACTAATACTAAATCTATTTATCCCGGATGTTCGAGCCCTAGATTATTAGTCCTAGATTATTGTTCTTGAAATACTTTGTGGATGGAAATGTCTGGCAAACAAACAAATAAAGCTTTTTTCAGTTAATGATACCAACAAGTTCGCCTGAAAGGAACCTCAACTTTTCTGCTCAACTTTTTATAGCAAAAGTCCACAAAAAGTTACCTCAGGATATTTAGATATTACGTTAAAAAAGAAGTTTCAAAATATTAATCAGGCCAGGCAAAGCTGACACACGGTTTAATCCCATTTCCACCACAGAAACCTGACACATCCCGTCAGACATTCACACCTACGGAAAATTTGATTTGTAGCAAAAAGAAAAGATCAAGCAAGGTAAAATAAAGCACCTTTCCCTCTCCAGCTAGAGCTGATGGCATGATAGCGCTATAAAATAAAAGGACACACTAATCAGCTAATGTGCAAATCAAATATAGATATTGAGAATGTATGGTGTGACAGTACATTTAGAGGGCTAGATTTGACCTTTGAACTGAGATTAGATGATAAAAGTACCAATGAGACTAGCTTTGTTTGCCTTGCATGAGTTTTAGTCTCTGATCTTGTGGTCTGACACAAGATGTTATAGTATATAGATCACCTATTTACATCTGTATTTCTCAAGGGCTTAAAAAAAAGAAAAGAAAATTCCCATTTTTAACTGTAAAGATCAAACATGCTGGACCAATGTCCAAACCAATGTCCCTAGCATCCACACGGAGATTCTCGGTGATGTTGTTTAAATGCTAACGCCTTGTACTGAAAATAGCAGGCAGTGGAACCAAAAGAGAAGGTCATCAATACCACGCCGTGCATCCTGAGTAGCATTGGAGCAGGCAGCTGATGGATGTAACCAATTTGAGAGTGACAACAACGGGATTTTTATTTACTTCTCAGACAGCACTGTCCTACATGCATGAGAGGAGTAGGGTGGGCAGAGCCCTGGGGCAGGGGTCCACCGCACACCCTGCTCTCTCAGTAAGCAGATCACCATGCAAGCCATGGGACATGCTCTAGAGACGTTCCCAGGCAAAAGGGGGGCAAGCCGGGGAGGGGCGGATTCCTAGCTAATTACGGGCCCGAGCATCTCATTCCTCATACGCTGATCACTAATTAGCATTAGCAACTAATTTAGCACATGGTCAAATCAAAATGATCAAGCAGGACTCAGAAAGGTGTGGAAAGGCTACCGACCAGCTAGCTCCTTCTCCTTACTCCTTCTTTTTTTCTCCATGCGTTTAAGGCGCTTCTCCTCGCGCAGTTTGGCTTCTTCGGCCTCCTGGTGCCGCCGGCACTTGTGAAAGTTCTCGACCACCACGCCGACGAACATGTTGAGCACAAAGAAAGCCACGATCAGCAAGAAGGAGATGAAATAGAGCAGCATCCATGGGTTGTAATTCATGACGGGCTACAAAACAGAAAAACACAACATGGATTAATGTACAGAATGCACACTAATGTGCACACACATTGGTGGTTAAGCTAGTTAGGAAGTTTATTCAAGGCTCAACAGTAAGTTGGGCCAGCAATTCAGCGATGTTGACTTGCATTACCTACCTACTTACTTATGTTAATACATTTTTATACATATCTTTTGCATTTGATTTATTTAATATGTTATAATATAATATGTCAAAAAAAATAAAAAATAAATAATTTTCAAAAAGCAAAAAATATTCTTTATACAAACCAGCCCATAGTATATCAATTGCTATGGGCTGGTTTTATATAAATATATATATATATATATATATATATATACAGAATATATTATATATACAGAATATATTATATAATATAATATAATAATTTCAAATGCCAACATTTTTTATAAAAATACATCAGTTGCTGAGTCAGGTCCTAAGGAGTAGCTTACAGCCATGTTCAAGATGGTGATGATGGAGAATTGTGATATCAATAAAATTTCAGTTCAAAGGTCTGTCCTGCTGGGGACCCGAAAGATGCCTGCCTCTAGGCTAGATTAAGTGTTCTGTGTGCAATGGTGAGGCACAGGTCACACGGCATGAATTTGAAGAAGAGATATCTGTGCCAATTCAAACACATGAATGCCTTGGCTAGGACAAGGGCTGGGCTCTTTTCAAATAGAGCAGAACAATTTCAGGAGCCTACAGCCAGGCATGAGGCATGGAGACTTCCTTTTCAGGCAAAAAAAATAATCCTATATTTTATTACTCAAAAATTAATTCAAAATTATTCAAAAATTCAAACTCTATTAAAAAAAAAATAGACATTTTGGGGGAAGAGTGTAAAATAAGCCACTTCAAAGAGGTCTGTTGAATGGACAGTAAGGAGCTTTACAGAAAAACTGATGAATGGAAAAGCAGTTCTTCGAAGCCAGGACAGGATTGCTGACCAATGATTTTTCAGCTCTGATTCAGTTCATGGAGTTTGTCCAATCAGAGTTTTGCAGTTATCAGAGAACGCAAATGACTGGGATGTGTTCTGGCCCAAAGTTTGTTTGCATTCTATAAACAGTGACCCAATTAAATAAGGTTGCCACATTGTCCACAGTTTCAGATCAAAAATATCAAAAGGGGAACCCATAGGCATAAAAATATTATTACAATTAAATGTTATGCAGGTAACAGGAGCTTCTGATATAGTCAATACCTGCTGATCGACACCGACAGAATCCAGGCCGTCGTACATTATGTCCACCCAACCGTCTTTGGAAGCCAGAACAAAAAGGGACATGAGGGCCTGAGGGAAGTGAGAGATAATAAAAGAGGTTAAAAGAAATCTTTGACTTCACTGGCTCCATTTGACTTTGTTGAAAATGGGATGAGACCATAACGGATTCTTTTCAAATTGGAAGTGGCATTACCACTCGCTTGTAGGTACATCTAAAAGAGCATCTTGAGAAAGAGCGAAAGTTTGTGTAACCATTGCCAGGTTAAACGCTTACCTGCCCCAGGTTATCAAAGTTGTACTTGTGCCTGACCCATTTGTTGCTAGCCTGAAGGCAATCAGACTTGTTGGTGATGTTCCTCGTATCCTCCCCTTGACACACAAAGAACTTTCCTTTGAAGAGCTGTGAGGAAAAAAACTATTTTATCAGCTCACAACCAACCTTCCTTTTCTCTGTGAGTGATTTTTTGGAATAACACACATAAAAATGTCTCAACTAGAATGACAGATATCAAGTGTCTTGAGATAATAAATAGAAATATATTCTATATATATTGGAAGAAAAAGAGGGTGTGGAATTTAATGACAATAGCTGACAATTATTGGTAAATTTTTATGAAGAGTTCAGATTTCAATTACATATATTATGTACATATAAGCGCATTACATTACTATATATGAATTATATGTTACAACTTCATACAAGATGGTTATGTCCCCATTATTGAAAGTCCAGTATGACTGTTTAGTGAAAACCATACAAGGACAAAGCCAATGTTACACATGCCACATCATACAGACTCAAAGAGCACTGGCATCTTTTCCTGGAAGAATGGAAGATAAATTACATCGACGTTCCCCTAAGGACTTACATAAATTGTGGAAGTATGAAAAACAGAACATTTTAATCATAGTCAAATTATTCAGCTGTGGGCAGGAAGAGTATGTTTCAAATTTACATAAATGACAGAAAATCATGTATTTGTTCTATGCACCACCTCTTTCACTCTCACTAAAAGTCTTAAAGGCAATCTTGTGGATTAAATGCACAGAGCTGTCAAATGTTATGTTACTTTATATATGATGGTTTCTTAGAAGGAATTACTACAATTAATCCCTTAAGTTAAGACTGGCTTTTACTTTAATAGTCTGATCCAAGCAAGAAATATTATATCTGCTATATAACTGTAAGGTAGCATTTCTAACTTCCCTACTGAAAAACATAGCTAAAACTGGCCTAAGCTGGTTTAAGATGGCCTGCCATGCTGACAAAGCTGAAAAGTGCTCAAAGTCTTATTAAAACTACCCAAAAACAAAAAACAAAAAAACTCTTTAAACTGGTTTACGCTTGTGATTTCTGCAAGGTTATGCTGTTTTGCACTTACTTGAACTCCCAAGATGCCAAAAATAATAAAGAAGGCACAACAGATAACTACAATGTTCCCGATAGGCTTGAGTGATGTCATCAGTGTCTCAACAACCAGCTTCAGTCCTGGAGCTCTGCTGATCACTCTGAAAATCAAACAAGAGAACAGATTTTTAAGTAACAGATCTTAGCCTGGAGGTTCACAACTGGTTTTTTTTTTTTTTGCTTCAGGACCTCGATGTTCCATTTGGAAATCAAGAAGCAACTCAACACACAAACTATTTTCTCAGGAAAAACAAACAAACAAGCAAACATTTTACAAAATTACATCATTTGTATAGTATTATCATGCTATATAACTAACTACATAATTTACATTTATATTAATAATAAATAATTTGATTTATTAGTATATTTAGGGCTGTCAAAAAACATTAACACACTAACATTGATTGACAGTGCTAATATTTATCAAGGCATAGAGTTAAATGTCTTTTAAATTTCAAAAGGCTTTATCGTGCAGCCCATAATTCACCTCACAAAATACATAGTGATCACCACAAACCATGTTCATTCTCATTCAACCCCTATTTAATGCAGTCTGGGTCATTTATTTTTAACCTTAAACAGCTTTGTGACAGATGAATTTGGGCAAAAATTTGAGTTAGACACACTATCTTTGACTAATAACAAAAGACATTGGAAGCGCTTTCTCCTTTCTTTTAAAACCTGATAAGCCAATTTATTTTGCTATCCTAACTATGCACAATTATATGGTGAGCTGCATAGTTGTAAACTCAGAAAGGGTCCATAAACTGCTCAGTCCTTGCCTGGCCAGTGCTTGCGAGTGGATAAATGTTTCTCATGCTTTCACCAACCTGACATTAGTCAGCTTTCTCTACTTTTGGCATTCCATCATTGCTGCAATCACAACCTCCTCTATGAGTGAGCATGGCAATTACCAGCAAACATTTTCATGCACTAGCCATTATGCTAAGCAACCGCAATGCAATGCTGTGGGGAAACTTTCTGTGCTGCATAGAAAGGAGACAGTTTTAATTAAACTGCCGGAATAAAGAGGAAGCCTAATTATTAACGGCACAACATCCGGAACTAAACCGCACATGTCAACCTCTGCGGAGGGTGGCACCAACAGTGACACAAAGACACCTGCTCACAAAGGCACAGACAATAACATATGTAATACAAATACACAGCTGTAACTGGAATTCAGCTGCTTTAGAGGCCAGGGTGTGTTCTTTTGTTAAAAAACCACTAAAAGGGGAAAGAAAGCATGCGTTAAAAAGCAAGTGTTTAAAAGTTTGGCCTCTTTAAAGTTAACATGCTGTCTTAAAAATGTTGCACTCATGACATGAGACCAATGAAATGTGCTTAAATGGTCAAAGATGTCCATCTAATGCATGTTTACAAAGACCAACAATGAAAAAGTAGTGCAGACAGATTCAAGATCAACTGTTTGTCTGTAAGAACAGCGATTCACATGTAAAATTATACTCTAAGGGAGCTGTAAAAGGCAACTGACTTTAATCTACGGCATTGTCTGTGTTGAACTGATGTTAATGGGACACAATGAGGACCTAAAGCAGTAGCAGGGGATCCAGATGCATTGCAGAAACATTGTATATTGCAAGATGTTTATGATATTACATACACACACACACACACACACACACACACACAAAGACTTCAAAAAATTTTCTTCCTTCAAAATAAAGAATAAAAGGCACATTAGTCCTCATCTGGTGACAGTGATTTTTGGCTCCTCACCACAGAACTGAGCTAAAGCAGCAAAAACTTGATTTGATCCTCAGCTTTGATCTTCTTAAGAAGTGTTCTGTGATTGTATCAGTGTCTGAGGATGAAGAAAGGGCCATGTTTAAAGAGACCAATCAGGTTTAGTCAAAGTGACTGGTTGAGAAAGGAGTCTGCCAAAAGGGAGTGCAGATAACAGGCTGCTCTGTCTTTTGTTTGTCTGAATATCTGCGTGCATCTTTCACAAGCTCAAGAGGATTTATCAAAGCTCACTTCGGGGATTTCAAGTAATACCATAAAATCAATTATGGAAATGTCAAACGATGAGAAGGATCAATATGTCTAGACCCACGCTCATCTCTGAGTGAATTTGAGAGGGACAGTCTGGTGAAATGATATGATGACTTGTTCACTAAAACTAAAAGAATTAAAAAAATAAATTCTGAATTGAAATAAAAGCTTGAACTGAAACATAAAATCACATAAAATATGAATATTATATGAAAAACTTGGCAACTAAAAATAAGCTGAAGTTTTAAGTAATAAAAATTACCAAAACTAAACTGGGGGGAAAAAAAATAGAAGACTAAAAAGACAAAATCACATAAAACAAATCAAAAGTAAAATCAAGTGAAATCTAAATATTAATATATATAATAGTATATGAATAGCATGCTCACACCTTGAGATTTCAATCCCTGACCAATAGAGGGCGCTAGTGCCTGAGGTGTTTTTCAATACAGTAGACATTCCAGACCACAGTGAAGTTATCAGTTTATATAATTTTTCATGAAAAAAGTGTAAATATGGGATTTTTGTGCAATTTAATATGTATTTATATACAGTAATAAAAGAGCAGTGAGAGCAAAAGAAAAGCATGTTTGTAAAGAGTACATTTTGAAAATATCAGATGGTTACACCATGGTCCTGTCATATATATGCCACGGTACTGAATGATTACCATAGCATGATAAAATACAATGGTACTATTGTAAATATCATGATATTTTTTGTTGGTGAGAAACCAGGGTGGTGGTCCTAGTTGTATAATATGATGCCGATGCGACTTTTCTGGTTTTTGAGCACGTGTTATGGTTACTGTGTTCTGCAAGCCTTCAAAAAATCTTAATTTCTCATATATATCGCTCCAATCCAGTCTTTGTGTTCTGAAAGGTTTTAATAAATAAATAAATTAAGAAGGAAACAATAAGTAGAGCACTGAAGGAGCCTCTTATTCCCAGAACACAGAGACACATTTTCATCCTGGCTGTAATTAAAGGATGCTGTAGTTGGGCTGGGAACTTTTGGGGCCAACCCTTGCAAAGGCTCTGTCCCCTCTATGTTTTTGCTTAGTCCTACACACAGAGAGTAATCCAAGATGCCCAGACCTAAGTGACCTAGTTGGGTTATGAGGGAGTACCAAAGCAGAAAGGTAGCCTGGAGCTAAGCCATGTAAAGATTTGTAAACGAAGACTAAAATTTTAAACTCTATTCTAAATTTAACCAGTAGCCAGCACAGAGACATCCAGATGGGAGTAATGCGATAAAATCTTTTGCTACCGGTCAACAGCCTAGCAGCAGCGTTGTGAACAAATTGTAAACGCCAGATAGATTAACTATTAGCTCCATAATAAAGTGAATTACAATAGTCAAGACGTGTGGTAATGAATGCGTGGATAACTGTTTCGAAATTCTTGAGGGAGAGAAAAGTTTTAACTTTTGCAAGGCGGCGTAAATGAAAAAAGCATGATTTGACGACAGAATTAATCTGTTTATCAAACCGAAGTCCTGAGTCAATTAAAATGCCAAGTTTTTTTGCGCACGGAGTAACATGAGATCTTAAAAAGCCTAGATCCAGATCACCACCATCATAAAAGTCACTTGGTCCAAACAATACAACTTCAGTTTTTTTTCTCGTTTAAGGCCAAAAAATGTTGCGAAAGCCACGATTTCAGATCCAGTAGGCATGCTAGCAAAACCTCAATAGAACATGAATCGTTACGTTTAAGTGGGAGATACAACTGGGTGTCATCAGCATATAAATGAAATGATACTCCATGTTTAGAAAAATAAGTCATTATAATCCGTAATTATGTCCCCACTGGATGCAACACATGCCTCGTTTATAATGGGTTTTAACGTTTTGTCTCGTCGCTCCGGCCGGGACACAGCATCACAGTATGGTAGGGGCGTAACATTTCCGTCACACACTTGAGGTATTCGGCCAATCACAACGCACTGGATAGCTGGCCAATCACAGCACACCTCGCTTTTCAGACCGATGAGCTTTGTAAAAATCGTCACGTTTCAGAAAGGCGGGGCATAGAGGAGAAACAATAATGTACAGTATGTGGAAAGATTTATAAACGAAGACTGAAATTGTAAACTCTATTCTAAATTTAACCGGTAGCCAGCGCAGAGACATCAAGATGGGAGTAATGCGATCAAATTTTTTGCTACCGGTCAACAGCCTAGCAGCAGCGTTCTGAACAAATTGTAAATGCCCAATAGATGAACAATTAGCTCTATAATAAAGTGAATTGCAATAGTCAAGACGTGTGGTAATGAATGCGTGGATAACTGTTTCGAAATTCTTGAGGGAGAGAAAAGTTTTAACTTTTGCAAGGCGGCGTAAATGAAAAAAGCATGATTTGACGACAGAATTAATCTGTTTATCAAACCGTCAATCTGTTTATCAAGTCCTGAGTCAATTAAAACGCCAAGGTTTTTCACGCACGGAGTAACATGAGATCTTAAAAAGCCTAGATCCAGATCACCACCATCATAAAAGTCACTTGGTCCAAACAGTACAACCTCAGTTTTTTTCTCATTTAAGGCCAAAAATTTTTGCGAAAGCCATGATTTCAGATCCCGTAGGCATGCTAGCAAAACCTCAATAGAACATGAATCATTATGTTTAAGTGGGAGATACAACTGGGTGTCATCAGCATATAAATGAAATGATACTCCATGTTTAGAAAAATAAGTCATTATAATCCGTAATTATGTCCCCACTGGATGCAACACATGCCTCGTTTATAATGGGTTTTAACGTTTTGTCTCGTCGCTCCGGCCGGGACACAGCATCACAGTATGGTAGACACATTTCATTACACCAAATACACAAAATAATGTTATTTTTAGCAACATCATATGACCCCTTTAAAGCAGATGTAATGCAAATTTTCTCATTATTTACTCACTCTCATGTCGTTCCAAACCTGCATGACTTTCTTTCTTCTGCAGTCCAAAAAAATGTGATATTAAAGGGATTGTTCACCCAAAAATTCAGTTATTACTTATTCACCCTGGTGTTGTTTTAATACACCAGTGAGAAAATAATGACTGAATTTTTAGCTCTTTCTCTCCATCT